CCCCAAAACCCCAAAACCCCGCCAACATAAAATTGGCAAAAAAAGCAAGTTAGAAATATATTATCTAAAATAATTAATAAAGACACAGAAGCAATATATATAATGATATCAGATGATAATCCACTGCCTAAAGAGGAACAAACTGAGAAAAATCTAACTCAAAATAATAAAGTTCTTAAAACTAGGAGAGCCTAAACTAGACAGAGATATTCAAATAATTTATAAAATTGGGGAGAGACAAAATCAAATAAGCAAAGACCAGAATCAGAAGCATCTAGATCATAAAGAGAAAAACAGTACTCTGAAAATAAAAAGACTTTTGATACAATCAAAGACTTATTAGAAAAAGATAATAATAGGATTTAGAGATTTGAAGGAAATATTTATTTTGCTAGATAACATAGATATGTTGTTTCCCAAAATTATAAATAAAGAAGATTATTAAAAAGTAGTAAGAATTTTCGCCCAACATAAGCTAGCACAAGATTAGATCAGACAATTTAAGACCAAGAATCAACAATTATAAACTAAGATTGCTCGAATGAGTTTATAATAAAGTAAAAAGTTGAAAGAAATGAAGAATCACCTAGTGGATCTTTTAATAAACTTGATGATTTGGCATCATTAGATCTAACAACTTGCTAAAATGACAAAAATTATTTAATTTTAGGAAGAAGATGAATGAAATCTGTTGAAAAGGAGAATAAATTTGAAAATGCTAAAAGTGAAGATAGTATAGAAACTACAAGCAAATATCATAAATTAAAATGTGATAAATGCTCCCTACTCTTTCCATAATCTAAAATCGCAGATTTAATATGTGGTCACTCTTTTTGCAAGGCCTGCATTGAGATGATCTCTAAAACTCAGATGGAGATTTATGATAGAAAAATGGAAATTTTAAAATGTCCATACAATAGATGCGAAAGACATTTTTCTAATCTAAGTCAGAAAATGCAAAGAAAAAATCACAATAATATGGAAAATATTGATCAACAAGACTTTTTCTCTCCTAAAGAAGAAAATGACTCATAGAATATATATTAAAGATATCCTAGCATTCCCAATAAAAAAGCAATTGCCCAGAGAAAGGGCATTATCAAGAAGAATACCTGGTTTAATGTTCAAAAGAGCAATTAGTATAATGATCAGACTATGGAAAATAGAACATTAAAATCAGAAGTAGTCAAGATAGATGTTGGTGACAGTGAAGAGTAACTTACTTTATATGGAAAAGCGAATTGTCCTAAATGCAAGGTAGAATTTGAGAAAACAGAAAGGAATAATTAAATAAGTTGCAAGAATTGCTAACATGAATTCTGCTGGAACTGTGGATTGAATGCTCATCATTTCATACATGCAGAGTGGATGTGCTTTATTAGATGTAAACAATCTCTCAATATCAAACCAAATCTAAAGAGATCATGTGGCTACTACTTTCTAACTCTAATCCTACTGCCATTAATACTATTCTTTGCTTCATTCATTCTATTTTGCGTAGGTGGAATTATGTTAACTCTACATGGCTACCATAATTCGGTGAAGGCTTTGCGCGAAGAATAGAAAATGATGAAAGTTTTTTACATGATTCTATTGATACCCTCTCTGATATTTACTTATTTGGTTGCAGTTGTAACAGGATTATTATTCTCACCTATTTTTACTGCTATTGGATTAGTGCCTGCTTAGTTTCTTTACTTTTATCTCTTTATAAAGATGGCACTATGGCGCTCAAGGCTCAAAATTTATTAGAATAGTATGGATCAGGCTAATTATTGAATTATATCCATTTATTATTTAATATCTTTCAAGTTTATTAGAAATTTCTTTATCACATAATTAGATAATTTTAACTTACTCCGGGGTTTTGGGGTTTTGGGGTTTTGGGG